GAAGTCTTTGCTGTGTTTTAGTGTAAAATAGGTGCATGTTATAGATGCATTGTTGTATTGAGCTTTTTGTCTGTCCTGCCTGTAACATGAGAAAAATGCCACCACTGTTGTGTTTTGTCAGTTTAGGGGATTCTCGTCTTCGTCTCCTTTAGCCGCTGTTTTAGCTGTGATTCATGTCCCATATTGGGTAATGCTTAAGAATGTTCCTGCTGCGTTCCTCCGCCTTCACTCTGGTCTCCGCATCTGTAATTATTCTCAGTTGTTACAAAAAATGTTCACATGACTGACATTTTGTGGGCGAGGGATGCTCTGTTGACCATAGATGGTACTGGTGTCTGTGTGGAACTTTCTCTGCATCCTTTAGCACCCTTTATAGTTTTGTTTTTACTTTCAAACTATAATTTACTCATCTAACCAACCGACTGGTTGACTGACAGGTTGGCCGGCTCACCTGCTGGGTGAGTAGCTGGACGGCTGCTGGCTAACTGCGGGCCTGCTGCTGATGAGTAGATAAACAGAAGGACTAGCTGGCCAGCAGTCTGGTTTGCTGGCTTTCTGACTGATTGGTTGGCTGCCTGCCTAGCCAAATGACCGGCTGCCTGGCTGGAGCAGTAGCCAGCGGGCTGCCTGATGGACAGTGACTCAAGGGATTGGCTTGCTGGCTGTCTGACCGACTGACCCCATCATCTTTATGACAGTCAAAGCTCCTGCTGAAGTCCTTAAAAACTCTCAGCATGTTAAAGTAAAAATAAATATCAGAAAATTTGCCCAATGGAAGCTAAAAGTAAACTAGCTTTCATTTTTAGCTGCAGGAAGTGACAGAGTATATAGAGCTTTACTTAAAAGCTGCTTAAAGTGCAGAAATATTTAAATAGTTAAAAAAAACACTGCTTCTGAAATACTGTCCACATGACTGACAGCATGAAAATATCTTCTTTTAAAGTGATCACGAACTTGTGCGGTGTCAGTTATCCAAACGTGATGTTTACTGGGTGTTCTGAATATCAGAGATAGTGAAACTGAGCTGCTCGCTTTTATTTACCCAATGGAGTCGCCAGTGAACCCATCTCTTATCTTTTAAATGCTGAAGTCTGGCAGAACTGCCCTTTAACTTCTGGGTCGGATTCAGAAATGGTAGCAGCCGTCAGCTGCCTGTCATTTGTTGCTCCTGCAGTTCTCGATAAGACGTGCACGTTTTAATTTCTTCCAGCGCCAACTTATAAGATTGAACCTGCCGTTAAAATATAAAAAGCCACTCTTATCCCCTTTGACAAGAAAGTTGAATTTGACAGCCAACAGAGTGAGGTAGCTACCTGCAGGGATAAATATAAAGGTCTTGGCAGTCATCAAGCGGCATTAACTTGCGAGTAGGAAGAAGATTTTTATTACAGTTGCAGTAAATCCAATGGTGAATTGGCCACTATTCTTATGTAACTACAGTGTGATGTTGGTTAGAAGATTTTCTGTTGGTAGCAAATCATCTGAAAGTGTGAGATGGTGTCTTCAGTGCAGAAATGTGTTTGATTTGTAAACTACAGGCTCTGGGTTCTTGTTTCTCTTAGTGTTTTTTAATCTAATGAACGTACTCATTGCTTCTTTTACTTACCTGTTAAACCAAAGCTTTCATGGTTGAGATCATCATAGTCTGATCTCAAATTTCTTTACCAATTCTTAACGTTAGGCGTCAGTCCATACTAGCTTGTCATTAGCAATGTTGCATTTACAGGTGTTTGGGGAGATTTGATATCCCGGTTGCTGCAGTAAATAGCCTGGGGATTTTTACCTTGAAAGGTTGTTAAGCAGGTACTTGTAGGGTTCGGGGTAATTTAATATTACGCTCAATTAATGTTGTGCGTGGTACAGACAGAACAGAGGAGCTGTATTGACCTAAGTGCATCTCTGCGTGTGCAGTGAGTCACTGTGTACAGCCTATACCACTGAGAGCCGTGTATCATAGTTAACATTTACACATGTAATAAGTGACAGCATACAATATGTTATATTATATATTATTAAAGCATATTAGAATTTTTTTTTAAAATCCTTGATGCTCCCAGGTCAGAGTTACGGTACTTATAATACATCAGAGGAAACCCTGACGGTTATTTGTGGCCTAGCTATAGTTTGCATCGTCACATTTTTGCTCTTCTCTTGCAAAAATTTCAAGTAACGTGAAGTTTCCACCTTCAAACTCTGTTGTTTTCAAACAGAGGCTGGGTGATCGATGTGCAAATGTGCATTACACATTACTGTTTTTTTTCCCCTATCTGCCCATCTCGCTGATGTATGAGGATATTTGTAAAAACTTAAGTAATCAAACAAAGGCAGTAAGTGGTTTAACCTCCTAGGACCTGGTGTCCACATATATGGTCATCACATTTTGGGTTATTTAGACCAAAATACTCAGTTTTGCTCTACAAGGGCCTGATATCCACTTACGAGGACATTATACTGCTACTGTTCTATCGAAATTTTAAACGAATATCCTCATATGGTCTTATTTTTCTTAAAAACAAAAATAAGGTAAAAAAAAATCTGGTAATTCTTTGTTTTTACATTCAATCAGCCCAAATATCAAAGAGAAATTAAAAATGCATGCCGTGGAAGAGTTCGGGTCTTAGGAGGTTAATGAGTAACTGTAATAAGGGCTACTATTTCACAAAGGTCACTCCACATGTTTCACATGCTTCACGCATGCGCAGGACTGGAACGTAAGCGTTTTCGGCTGTTTCACAGACAATGTAGTATGATTATAGATTAGTTGAAGTTCTTGGGTAAAGAGCATCCAGACACATTGTGCAGAGTGATGAAGTTCTTCTTTACCAGCGAAGGACAACCATTTCATTGTGGAAAGTCCCCAAACTGTCACCACAAAAATTGTTGTCTTGCACTGTATTATTATAGATGAAATATATGAAGTGGTGGTAGCCTTCTGGGTCTAAAAAGTGAACATCATGTACCTTAACCTGCATTCTTTCAAACGGCCAGCGGGAGGGACTTTGATGTTTGCAAAAGGTCTGCTTGTATGGACGTTTATGGGAAAATCACCCTCGGCTACTTTGATCTGTGTCCTCAGTAGACACTTTCCACATGACTGTATGATCTTAGTTTCTCATTTCTAGTAGCATGATCATCATTTTGTGCGATACAGTCTCTATTGGAGTTGTAAACGAGGTTAAGGGAGGGCAGGCCAACCTGATTGACAAGTTTCTACCTTGTATATGTTGTAGTATGAAGATGTACCTGGATTATTGTGTGGAAAAGGATTCTGCATATATTCTCCATAAAACAGAGCAAATCTTAATCTTATTGCAACACAACCAGAGTGCAACAACAATAAAGAGAATGGTTAGTAGAGTTGCAACATCAGCAGTGTTCATGTTAAAATGTCACCATCTTCGATATGAAAAGCCAAACAGTTTGCCCAGCACTTCCTCGGGGCCTTTCCTCCGTGGACATATGATGCTGCTGCAGTTTACTAAGGAGTCCAGGCTGCAGCTCCTGTTTATCAAGCAGCCGCCATTGGAAAGAAAATGTCACGTCATGTCACTCCCGGTTGGGTCGCTAGATCAAACGCACGTGCTCAGCTGAAGCAAAAACACTCAGGAACAAATGTCACCCAGCTTTGTCACCGTGATTGAGAAATAATCACTTGATCTTGTTATGTGCCTGAACGTGTGTCTGAGCCTGTACTGTAATATCCTGTGAGTGTGACGGGGAGACATGGGGGGGGGTTGTTTGGCTCAGTTATCATTTTGAATTCAGGCTGTGTCTCCATGTTTGTTTGGAGGGCTATACATTTATTAGATTTTCTTTTGGACACTGTTTGTGTTCTTGCCTGGCCCTGTCTTTCACAAGTAGATGCAAAAAAACAGCAAAATTAGCTTCTCTTTTAGTTTTCACTACCAACACAACAACCTGGTTTAGTTACAGCCCATTTTATAAGTTTCCCACTGAGACCAGACTTTCATATAAGTATGAAAACCAGTTCTTGCATAGCAAAGAATCCTCAAACATAGTCAGGAACACAGCAAAAGGTGGTGCTGTAAAAGCGCACAGAACAGCTCTGCAAGCCTTCAGACAAAAAAACAAAACAAAACATTTAAGCCTGCACACAATAAGAACTATTTAATTTATGAATACATCAGCTGACACTACTGTCTGGCAGATGATAGTAAATATTCCTCTAGATTGCTCGTTGTTTTGTTTGGCATTTTTACAGCCCAGCTGAGACTTTTAAAGTCTGCACTTTAAATGCCGTCAATAGATAAAGCAGTTGCCAGTCAATTTATACACGTTCAAATCATGTCTGTGTTACCGTAGTTCTTTCAAACAGTTGGCACTGATTGGCTGTAAAAGTGTTACATGTACGTGCTTACAGGTGCTCCTGTTACTTGTGTGTGCATTCTGGCATGCTTTTGCCTCATTAACAATATTTAGCAGTGTGTAAGCTGAACATTCACAGATTCAAGATCATTATCATTATTATCATATGACACTGATACCCCCAGACTGCCTGGGGATTGTCCACACTCGGAGAGTGTTGACTGAGCCCGGAGTCTGAGCGCTGGAAAGACAATGGTGATGTTTGTGGAGAAAGTGCTGGGAGAGACAGCTGTTGCACAGCATGGCCCTCTCCTCTCCAAGTCTGGGGCCCCAGCTTTGCCCGAGTCCGAAGTCGAGGAGTATCTGGTCGATGTACCTGCAGTTAGCTGGGCTGACCACATGAAATAGCCGTGGTTTGTCAGAGGATGAGCAGGAGAGCCTATCGTCAGCCCAGCGTGCTGCTGCTACTGCGCCGGCCAGCTACGATGATGCGTCTCTTTATCCCTGTTTCGCCACTGGCCCTCTCCTCTACCAGTTTGTAGAATTTTTCCTTCCACCAGTGCCCATGGGGGCCAAAAATTCATCTTCCCATGTTCCTAGAATTTGTTTGCAAGCTAACTGCATCATGGAGCAAACCGCCGTCCAACCATATCACTGTGCCTGCCTATTGACAGTACATGGAGCTGGGAAGCATGGAGTACATGGATGACACCAACGAGGCTGGCTTAGCTAACACACCTGGTATGGAGCCATCCCTGGCTGCTTATCTGGCACCGTCCCACAACCATGGTGTTGGTGGCCCCACAACTCTGCCGTACAAGCAGTGCAGATTCTCCACGTTGCAGCTGGACAGTTTCAACTGGAATGCAGGCGGCGTTTCCAAATGACATAATGGTTGTTGGGCATGATGGCATCTCTGATCGCCGTAGTGTCACTTGGACTGTTATAGATGAATGTTTCAATGGTGGACTCTCTCACCACCTGTGTGCATCGTGTCACCTGACAATGACACGAATCTTGCATGCTAGCTGTCTGTCCCTGGAGGGAGCCCAGACTGCGCCAGGGCTCTCAGATTGGGAGGGTGTTGTTTCACAAGGTGGTATCCACAGATGGGGATGGGGAGCTCTGTGCGATGACGCATCAGTGAGAGGTGTCGGGACCACAGAGCAGCCTGAGCTGCACATGAATCACTTAGAGCTGCTAGCAGTGTTCTTAGCTCTCAGGCATTTTTGTTCTGAGGGTCCAGCATGTCCTAGTGATGACAGACAATTTAACAGTGGTCTCTTACATAAACAGGCAGGGAGGGATACGCTCTCTTCCCCTGTTAAAGCTGTCTCGCTCTCTGCTTCTATGGCGCAGTGTTCATTTT